GGTGTGTCTACGAAACAGATGTTTCTTTCGAGTACGGTGTCAATACTGCTCTTTCTTCTTCGCAGTACGCCACTATCTTCGGCATCAGTCCACCAATAGGGATAAGGTTTCGTGCTTGCATGGATTTCAGTTACTCGTGTTGTAACTGCGTGCTCTGCTTTCTTTGTACGAGACTTGGATTTCGGGGGGCGTGGCTGCGCATACGATTGGGAGGGTGATAGCGGATCTACGTGCACGATGTCTTCGCAGACTTGGACAATGGATCGAACGAGAGAGGACTTGCCGACACCTATATCGTGCTGTCAGGTTAGCCTCTGTGCAAAGTAATTTGCGCGCATCGCGTCGACCACGCACCTGTTTCACCCGCCACCATAACTCTGAGCTTTCCCATAGCTTTTCCCTTTGTTGTGAAAGGTCTTCTGGTAGGCATCTGCATCTCAGGCATGACGAGCTGTGGAAAGCTCATGGTATCCTGTTGCGTCTGCATCTGCTCTTCCTCCTCTCCACTTGAGACAACAGCCTGGCTCACGGCATCATCCATAGCAGATTCCTCGTCGGACAGCTTGAGAGAAACAATAGAAGCCGACCTGGGCGTGCTCCCCATGGCGGATGTGGGGAGTGGAGAAGGGATGTCGGCGCTCGTGACGGGCAGTTTGAAGTGAGTAATCGAGTCATGGTTGGTAAAGTTCCTCCTCAGTTTCCGTACCGAAGTGGTTCTGGATTTATCTTGTGGCGGAACTGAGTCTGTCGAAGAGCTGTGGGATTCGGATCTTGAACTCTTCGCACCCTGATGCCGTGTCTTGCTAGCTGTTTCTGTCTCTGCGCCGGCTGCTGTACCTTCTGGGCCAAAGGCAGCGTCTAGAGTATCTGCAAGACTTTGTACTCCAAAGTTGTTATCTTGCTGTTTCGCTGTAGAAGTCGCACTGTGAGGAGCCATGGTATGCTCCAAATCCCCGACGCGTTTCATGACGAAGGTAGTGGGGACATTGCTCGAAGGGGCGGCAGGATGATCCACGCTTGACTTGCGAGACCGCGGCTTGACAGTAGGAGGCAGGGCGTCACCGCCCAGTTGCGGTCGCATGTTTGCGGTACTCTTGGGGCATATGTTGTCGAGTGTACGAACACAGAAGTTGGATGGCGACACACCTGATCAGCCTCAATAGGGATGCCGAGTGGTGATGTGATGCACGCGACGGCCCCGCTTAGCCCCGCGCGATCTACTGCACCCTTAGTCCTGCGATAGCGCGCCGGTGTCTTTTAAGTGGAGTGGAAGGAAGAGCAAACGGGTGTAGGTATCATGGTACAAGTCATCCCCGATACATGAAGCGCAGGTTGCCGCGCCCTGAAGCTTATGGGCTGTTGCTGATGCAGGTGGGCTTGCGCGTCCTCGAATCAGCTATCACCGTAGCGCTAGGCTAAGCCATTGTCGCACTATCAGGTGACGTTATCAGCAATCACAAGACGACCGCACATCAGTTCCGTACATAGCATTCGAGCATATATCATTTATTGTATTCGTACTAGATCATCTCACAGTTTGGCTGTCATTGTCCGTCTGATCCTCTTATCGTCGAAGCCATGCTGTACACCCATTACACCAGATGCCATGACATCCCTAGCCCGTACCTAGGACCCACCAGATAGCCTTCCCTAAACATTAGGTGACCAAGAATGCGACTGCGAAGAAGAGAATACGTTCGAAAACGACGAAACAAATACACACGGATACAGGAAGGGAATATGCAGAAACGAAACCACTCGCTATGCAAGGGCTCAGAACCCTAAGACGAACGCGTACGCCCAGACTTTTCCTCGAAATGAAATGACTTTTATACAAGCGCTGAAAGGGGTCGAGTACAGTACATGGCTAAAGCCGTCAGTCGTTAGGCCGTCGAGTCAAACGGACTCGACAAAGGATGGATGGATGGATGAAGAATAGGAAGGAAATGAGGTGTTAAGTAGCGTGATTCCTCTACGCCTCCTGGGGGGCAGCACCACCACGACCGCCGCGCATAGAACCACCGCGACCACGGGGCTGGAAGTTACCGCGGGGACCTTGGCCACCCATGCCGCCACGGCCACGAGGAGCACCACCGCGAGAGAATCCACCTCCCCTGTTGAATTGACCAGGGTTCTGACGGCGTTCCTCGACCTTAATCTCGATACCGTTGATCGTGTGGGGGTTAGCAGCGACAGCAGCCTGGAATCCAGCGGGAGTCTTGAAATCGACGAAAGCGCAGTTCTGAGATATGTTAGCTGGAACGTGGTATGGCTGGGTGCTTTTGCTTACCTTGCCGCGGCTGATGTCAAGGTACTCGATCTCACCGTACTTGGTAAGGGCGGTCTTCAGAGCAGCGTCGTCAACCTGGCTGTAGACGTTCTTGATGTAGGCGCGCTTCTGGTCGGGATCGGCGGCGGGTCCTGCATTCTGTGCACGAGACTGCTCCTTCTTGTGTCCAGTAGCTGTCTGCCAGCCAGCGGCCTCACCCTGGCTAGTCGCTGGGGACTGGTCACGGGCGGGTGCTGCAGTCTGGCTAGAGGCGGCGGCAGCAGCAGCAGCAGTAGGTTGAGAGGGAGCGGCGGGGGTGGCCTTGGAATCCTTAGGGGCCTGCTGGGCGGCGGGGGCGTTAACGACGGGAGTAGCGACCTTGTGTGCGGAGGCTGCGAGGCTGGCCCAGGTCCGGGGAGCGGCAGGCTTAGGAGGACCAGAGGGCATGGCGACAGGAGCGGCCTTTTGTGCAGATTGTGCGGGCGCTGAGGCGGCTTCGGCAGGCTTCTCAGATTCGGTGGTCTTCTCAGCAGCGGCTGGCTCTTCGGCGGTCTTCTCCTCAACAGCGGCAGGTGCCTCTTCCACCGCAGGTTGCTCAATCTCCTCTGGAACCTGTTGGGCAGGAGCGGCGGGCGCAACTTCCTCTACAGACGGCTCCTCTTGCGCGGCCTGGTGCAGCTTGTCGTCAACCTTGTTCAGATCCTCCTCGCTGGTCGCGATCTCGTCACTCTTGTTCAGGTCTGCATTCTCTGGGACGGCAGCAGTAGGAGCTGGCTCAGTGACACCATTGGCGGGTGCGGCCTGCTCCTGCTGGTCCTCATCCTCCTCCACGGGTTCGTCGGCAAGGTAGCGGAAGATGTCGTTGAGGACGAAGTAGCCGTTGGTCTGTTCGGCGAGAACAAAAGTCTGAACGAAGCGCTTGTGGGGCTGGCCTTGGTTGGAGATCTCACCAATGACCTGGATGACGATGTTGGCATCGGAGCCCTGGGAGTCGACGTTGGTGACGCGGACCTTGGTGTCCTTGAAGTCGAGCTCCTTGATACGCTCGTTGATGGCCTATGCATGTGTCAGCTTGTGTATGTTGCAATTGGGTATGTCTCATATACCTTCTGGCCTAGGCAGACGTTCACCTTGTCCTCCTCAACACCGGAGACATACTGGGAGCGCTTGTTGTAGAAAAGCTGTGATTTGAGTCAGTCGCGTATCCTGCAGAAGAAGGCTACTGGGCAGCATGCGACTTACGTAGAGTCGGTCGGGGCTCTTGCTGAGGGTGGTGTAGTACTGCTCGACAAAGTACCAGCCGACCTCATCCTTGGGGATCTCTGAGGCAGCGGCTTGTTGTGCGGGCTGCGAGGCAGTGGGCTGTTGCGAGGGTGTGAAGTTGGAGGCGCCGGTGGAGTAGCTGTTCTCGTACTGCTGCGGCGCGTAGTTGCCGTTGACAGGGCCGGATGACTCGGTGGATGCCATATTGAATGTGAAGGTGGTGGGAAGGATATGCGGCGGGACGAAGGGCGAGTTGCGTTTTGTTTTGCGCGAAGTCTAGTGGGGTGCGAGGTACGCGAGGCAGAAGATAGGCGCCTGGATGCTAAGAGAGCACGTCAATGTCAGTAGTGTAAAAAGCTGCCATCGGGCTATTTGCGCATACCGGGCCGTTGTCACAGAGATGGAAGGGAATCCGTCGAGACTGGAGGCTACGTGGGCGGGGTGATGGCGGTCGGCGGATTAGAGGGCAGAAAATACAAAGCTCCCTAAGGATACGAGAGAGATGGAATCAGAGCGTCAGGGTAGTAAGAGACTGGGAGCAGGTTGGCCGGTTGTGCGCGTGCAAGCAGTGCTAGTGAGGACCACACTGATGAGGAAGGCAAAATCGATTGGAAGGCTGGTGAACAACCAAGTCTGTGCGTCTTCGCGTCTTCCCGATCAAGCGAACCTGCCCTGCACCTCCACATGTCGCCTCTCCACCATTACCATCATCTTGCTCTCAGACGCCTAGATAACTCTTTGATCAAGTCAACTCTTGCCAATGGTTGCTTTGGTAGCTTTCTTCGTGCTTCCGCCTATGAAACAGCAACTGCAGCCACTGGTTGGCTATGCACGACCCGTGTCAGTACCAATTTTGCCCAGGTAGAATGTGGCCGTCTCCCTGTTACACGTGCTGAACCGAACGCAAAGAGATATGCTTTGTAGTCGAGCCCAGTAGAAAGCTGCTTCACATCGCTGCTTACATATATGCGTTGCATATTCAGTACAACGGCACCAGTACCCTGTCGGACGCCATCTCGGACATGTCACCATCTCCGACATCTCCTTATCCATGTCCGCTAGGCACGTTAGTCCTCAAACCTTGCAGGTTTAACACCGAGCTCACCAGCAGAACATTTCGAAAATCCGAGCTGTTCTTTTTGGAATATGAGTCACTAAGTCCGTACTTGTTGCCCTTTTTCTTGTTGTGGAAGGGGCGCACGTTGTAGGTGTACCATGTTACTGGCTCGGTGTGTCGGCCTCATACCAAGGCGAGGCCGAGACCGAGCAGCCCTACGTGCAAGCTTACCCAGATTGGGACCATCTCTGCGTTCCACGGAGTCCAAAGCAAGTAGCAAAAGTTGCTACCTATCTTACAGCCAATCTCTTGAATCCACTACTTAATCATGTCCAAGCCCAATTTTTCAAGACTTGTGTCACCAACTCCCCTTACTTTCTAGCCTCCAATCCACCACCATCTTGTCTCACCATGTCACAAACGACAAGCTCAGTGGCCTCGATTCACGAGGAGAAAGCACGACTGCCTCATACCGACGTCGAACAGCCCGCGGTATCACTCGACGAAAAGCAACCAGATACGACCGAGCCTCCCGCGGTCGTGAGTCCATTCCATCCAAGTCAGTTTCCTGATGGCGGAAGGGATGCATACCTGTGTCTCCTCGGAGGCTTCTGCTGTCTGTTCTGCTCATTCGGATGGCTGAACGCCGTTGGAGTGTTCCAGAGCTACTACCAGCGGAACCAACTCAGTGACTACTCGCCTTCTACCATCGCCTGGATAGCCTCTCTCGAGATCTTCGTCATGTTCGCGCCTGGACCTATCGTCGGATTCATCTATGACAACTACGGCCCCAGATACATACTGCTATTTGGCACCTTCTTCCATGTCTTTGGTCTTATGATGACGAGCCTCTGCACCGAGTACTGGCAGTTTGTTCTCGCACAAGGAATTTGTAGCCCCCTAGGCTTGAACTGCATCTTCCAGGCGGGAACTAGCACCATCCCTACTTGGTTTTTCAAGAAGAGAGGGCTGGCGTACGGAGTCATGGCTGCTGGCAGCGGACTAGGCGGTATCATCTTCCCCATCATGGCAACGCACCTCATCCCCCAAATTGGCTATGGCTGGACCATGAGGACATTGGCGTTCCTCATCCTCGGTATGATGGGTATCGCATTCGTCACTGTCAAATCTCGTCTACCACCGAGGCCTAGAAAATTGGAGCTCTGGGTGTTTCTAGAGCCCTTCAAGGATACTCGCTTCATCCTACTGACCATTGCGTCATTCATGTTCTTCATGGGGATGTGTAAGTTCCTTTCTTCGTGCAAACTTCTCATAAGCCATGTACTGACTCGATGTCTAGTTATCCCCATCAATTTTATTGAGGTTGAAGCCATGTCGGATGGAATGTCAACTCGCTTAGCGGGATACCTCCTGGCTGTCCTCAACGCCGCAAGCATCTTCGGCCGTATTATCCCCGGTGCTCTCGCAGACAAGGTCGGCAAATTCAACATGCAATCATTGTGGTGTCTGGTAGCCAGCATCCTCGTCCTCGCATTGGCTCTCCCCGCATCTAGCAATGCGGCATACATCACATTCGCTGCTCTCTACGGTTTCGCTTCGGGTGCTTTCGTCTCACTGTTGCCGGCCCAGATAGCACACATCTCCAAGGTCGATCAGATTGGAATACGCGTTGGTGTTGTATTTGCATGCATATCGTTTGCGGGCTTGGCCGGTAATCCGATTGCGGGAGCTATTGTCGATCAAAATAATGGAAAGTACTGGGGGCTGAACGTCTTTTCAGGTGCCATGCTCATGGCAGGGTCGGGTATGTATGTAGTGACGAGGATGTACATTGCGGATTGGAAAGTCTTTGCGCTAGTTTAGTAGTCTGTCGAGCTAGGAACATACCATGTAAATCTACGTGTACAGTATGCGTTACATCATCAAATCACCTTAACCATTGACTGAATGCTTACAAAGACACATTGCTTACAACCGGGTGCGGAACTTTGAGGTTTGACTTTGGTGCTGGTCGAGGTCTGTGAGCGCCCGGCGTTCTTAAATCCGCACAGCGCACGGACCATGGAATTCGTGATAGACGACTGCTCAATACCTAGGTAGCATCGTCCCGTTCCGCATTCCACCACCTCACACCCCACATCACGAGCTATGTCCGTCCCGCTGGATGAGTCCTACCCAAACGCAATCTGTCAGCTTACGTACGCTGAGTTAAACACTGGGCGCCCGGACTGATGAAGCAGGGGTTTCAAGGTTTGTCCGTTGTTCGACGGTTGTACGATTTGCACATCACTTCGTACATGAACTTTCATGACCTTCCACCGTTGTACGCATCGCGCGCCACACACTTTTGCTTGACTTCGCTTAAGCATCACTTGCCGTTCTTTTACCGTTCCATCTCGATCTATCGTACCCAAAGCGTCGTACAAACGGGTAAAAACAAGCACAACGGAAAGACTTACCGAAGCCTGTTGTGCGACCACTCTTTGTACGCCGGACATTAGGAAAGAAGTCATGCCCAAACAACGTCAGACCTGTACGCGATGCTCCCAACGACGGCAGAAGTGCGATCGAAAAGCGCCCTGCACAAGGTGTGTACAGAATAACGAAGGCCATCTATGCACTACCAAGTGGGTCAATGGATACAACCCAAATATTCATCGCAAATACCCCAGAAAGCCCTCGGGAGCTAGTGGAAGCGATACGTCTTCGTCTATTCCTTCTCCCGATGTAGACTCTCAGGCGCTGCTACCCTTGGTTCCTCATGCTGCACCCACGACCGAGGCTCGATCGAGTCAAGGCCAGCCCCTTGCAGATTCAGCATGGCGAAGCAGCTTGCCTGGGATTAGCATCGGTGCAATACTGAAGGAAAAGGATGCAGATGCGAACCAAACTCTTTTCGACAAAAGTTTTTCTCACGCCAGATCGAAAGGACTAGCGCGAGATGCAGCGAACGGATCAAGCCCCCTTGCGGGTTGCTACTCCAACGCAGCGAGAATAGTGGAGACACAGTATCTACAGTCCATCTTACCGTCGAAAGACAAGCTAATGCTGATTGTGGATTACTACGCGGAGTACATGATATACTGGATTGGTGGCATCTTCCATGCGCCAAGCTTCAGAAGAAAACTGCTCGTGGCCTATGGTCAGTCGTCTGAGCTCGATCTGCAGAGTCTCGATTGGAAATGGACTGCACTCTTATGTAAGTCATCTCAGTCACGAACGATGCAAGAGTCTTCAATGTGGCATGCTACTACTGGAAAGAGTTCCAATGATGTACTCTACATTGTCTTTCACTTTAGAAGCCACTGACGTCGAGTGCCGTAGTTGCTATCCTCTCATCGAGTATAATTGGCTCTGCAGAAGGTGTTTCAGCCTCCTGGGGCTACTCACTCGACGACAAAGTCCAGCTAGCACGTGTATGGGGTGCCGCATCGATCTCATGTCTGAATCTTGGCAACTACACGTCGCAATATAGCATTCACTCGGTGCAGACGATATATATCATGCACGCGTACGAACATCTCGTCGGCTCAACGAACCAATGGATTGCTTTGCGAAGCGTCTGCGTTGTCATTGCGAAGGGTTTGGGTTTGCACAGGTAAGTGTTACGTACTACTGAAAGAAGTATCGGTAACTAATGTTCTAGACTTGGCCCGCATCCAGACGATGAGCGAATAACCGAACTAACTCCAGATCAGAAGGAAGCCTTTATTGAGCGTGAGATTGGTCGCAGGGTGTGGTACGGGGTTGTGTCGCAAGAGTGGTATGTTTACAGCTCAATCAAGATGATTTGATAAGAACCAACTCATAGATACTATAGGTTGTGTTGCACTTCGCAGGCTGCCTATACGCTGACCCTCCAATGGCGACATTTTACGAGCGCAAGGCCACGCACGTTGGACGAGGAGACCATGACGCCGCTCTCCAATCCAGCAACCCCGACAGTCACCGCCGTCGGGCATTACTTCTTCGACTACGCTGCGGTACTCCTTGACGTTCATAACACTATGGTGGAGCTTTTAGATAAAGACGACGCTACCAAGTATGCTGCGATACTCAAACATGATGGTGAGATGCGTGCTACATGTACGGAGAAGGTGCCAGCATGCCTCTCACCCCGGACGCCGTACGATCCCAGTTGGCCTCAGTGGGTGACTTGGGCGAGGAGACTGCATCAAGCGTCCGTCAACCATAAGATTGTCATGAGTAAGTGGTAGCTCCATATTGCACCCATATGAGAACTGCGCTGACACTACTTACCATGCTCAGTTCACCAAAACTTCTTGAGCAAGAGTTTCAAGGATTCACGCTATACATACAGCAGGTGGGCCTGTATGACCGCCGCACAGAACATTATCAACATATACAACGCCCGGGATGCCAACGAGCCGCAGTGGTGGGTCGAGCAAGCTTTTGTCGTCACGGCTGGTATTTGCATGATATTGGAGCTCTTTCACCGCGCTGAGGCGGATGGGGAAGCTCAAGAGTACCAACTGTACGTGAAGAAGGCCGTCAGGTTCTTACAACTGTTCTGCACATCGAGTGTTGCAGTACACGGTGTCCGTCTTCTCATGTCGCTCTTGCAAGAGTATGAGAAGCTGAAAGAAGCATCAAGCACGAAGACCGCAGCATCGATGGAGACTTCAGCCTCACGGCCCTGTGCTTGTGTTTCCGACAACATTGAGGACATCTCGATCACGGACGCGGCCCGAGGAACTCATGCGTTCCCTGTGGTACCTGACATACAATTGCCATTCGACGATGCTTTCAATTTTGATATCGATGCACTAGGCTTCGATGATTTGATGGACTACCTCCCGAGTGTAGAAGGCTCGTTGGATAATAACGTCTTCCATGCTAGCATGTTGTCAGCTAACGGATGGCCGACGTGGTAGTCTTTCTTTATGGAGAACCGCACTTGCCAATTTCCATGCTCGTTCTTTCCAGACGGCACGCAAGTGGTCTGACATCAGAGTAGCTCTTCCCTCGTCAAACATGGCTTTTGGTTCAAGGTATAAACCAAGGTTATTCTACTGGTTTATAATTCCGACTTCCAGACTCACTAGTCCTAATCGCAGAGCCTTTGTTTCTTCCTGATTACACTGCGCAAAATCACCCAACAATGTAGAGCAGAACACATCCCACTATAAGCAGGAACTAACAAAGATAGTCTGTCAACAACGCCACCATGTCTCAAGATTCCGATCTCCATACGACGCTCGTGCTCGACGCATTGAGTAATGGCCTAAACATATCCATGGCAGAGCTCCTCGGAATCCTAGGTCGACAAGCCCCGATCTCGAACCTTCTCCTAGAGCCCATTCTCAAATTACAGCAGCTTGCCGCGACCACGACGCTGCTTGCTGTACCGAGCATCCATTCACAAAAGAAGGCGGCACTGGGGCCCATCGCAGGAGAAACGGAAGAGGAACGCAAAGACCGGAAGAAGTTTCTAATCACGTACTGGATCGCTTTGGGTCTTGCTTGCCTGATCGCTGTATCTGCAGTCTGGACCAAAGTGCACATGGCGGCACACAAGGGCCAGAAAAAGTTCGAGACGAAGAAGAAGCCCCAGTCGGACGTTGAGAAATGGCATTTGCGGCGTCAGAGGGAGCGCGAGGCATCATTGCAGATGGGACAGGTCGATGATCAGGCTCCAGGCGCATAACACCGTGGTTGAGCAAACGAGGGCGGATATGGTGTTACGGTGCATGAATTCTATACAGATGGCCTATATTAGTATATTTTGCCCCATACGAAACCGGATGTCTTCTATAGCTCAAGAACATCCCGTATATGTTTCAATCGGTGTGTAGCTTTTCCCACAAAGTCACAGCCTTTTCCTTGTCGTTCTAGGCATGCGAGTCTCGGATCCCATGAATTGGGCCTTTGACTAACAGTATATGCCGAAGACATTCGAGAAATCTTTTTGTCTATTGGGAACAAAGACTGACAACTGAACGTTCTTTAGGACGTGCTATTATTTTGCGTGAAACTTGTAAGAAACGAGTGCTTCGTTCACAGATGAGGAAACCGAATAGCCATCCAAACCTCGGCAATTCTTCATACCCCACACACGTCGATCTCCCGTCGTGCATGTTGTCTACTACGGTCGCGGCGTACTATATTATACCACCTTGTTAATTTCAAATGACTATAGAGTCTTGATTAGAACGAAATGATGAAGGCAATCCACATCGACAAGTTCGTCTCTGTAAGGCCATCCACGGACTCGATCGCAGCACCACTCTGTCTAATTAACACCACCTACTCAGAATGTCGCAGACCTACAACCATCTACCATCCTACCCTCAACGCCCAAATCACCCCGGGATATCCATATCAAAATCAGCCACGCCGCGGTAACACACGTCGACCTCCTCTATGCGCAGGGTTTGCATCAAAACAACCGCAGACATGTCCAACCACCCTTCACCCTAGGCACAGAGTTCTCGGGCGTCGTGACCCATAGCCCAGAAGATTGTTCATTCAAACCCGGCGATCGTGTCTTTGGCGGAGGTTTAGGCGCCTATGCGGAACAGATATGTGTTCCTGAAGATGCCGTTCGTCGTGTCCCATCTCGGTGGACGAATGCCGAAGCATGTGCAGTAGGCGCAAGTGGTGCGGTCAGCTATGGTGCTTTACTCTCCGTTGCGCAACTTCAAGCTGGAGAGACGGTACTTGTACTTGGTGCCAGTGGTGGACTAGGTGTCATGGCTGTGCAGATTGCAAAGGCTATTGGTTGCAAGGTCATTGCTGTCGTTGGTGGATCTGAGAAAGCTGGGGTGGTCAAAGGGATTGGTGCGGATGTTATTGTGGACTATGGAGACGAGGGGTGGGAAAACAGAGTTAGGGAGGCGACTAAGGGTGGAGAGGGGGTGGATGTTGTGTATGATGGGATTGGGGCTGTGGAGAGTGGGATCAAGTGTCTGAAGTATCGGGGACGATTGGTTGTGGTAGGATTCGCAGCCAGGAATGGGAGCGTTGAAAATGTAAGGACCAATCGAATTCTGCTCAAGGGAGTTGCAGTACTTGGTTATGTAAGTACCATGTTCCCATGGCTTTGCTCCGGCCGTTCTGTTGCGAGAGTGGCTTGCTGACCCATGGTAGCGGTTTGGAGAAGACGGCAGGAGAGACCCGCAAAGAACGAAGGATGTTTGGGACGGCTTTGTCAAGCTAGTGGATGATGGGAAGATACGGCCTGTCATATACAAGGAGGAGTATGCTGGGTTAGAGACGGTCAGTAAGGCGCTGGAAGATGTAAAGGCGCGGAAGGCATGGGGCAGGTCTGTGGTAAGGATATGCGATGAGGAACAGATGGGCGAGAATGGTGGACAGAAGGCGAGGCTATGACATCAGTTATGGTTACATTTCTGCACACAGTGTGCGCTCGACGCGTCACTTTGTATCCGCATTCGCCTTGGGCACACCGAATCCCCACTTTGCAGAACATGTGAAGCCAACGCGTTAGTGATGCTTCACCTCATAGGCCTTGTGGCGTCGATTCCCCCAACGGGCGCACGGCCCCTTGCGGCGCGCCGGCTTAGCGCGGTTTCTTTGGATGGACCTGGTTCGACGTTCCCAAGGTTAAAACAAAGCCGTCTCCATCGACGCTTGTCGTCTGCTCTCACTTCTCCTTCTTATCCCTCTCCCACCGCGCGCCGACGTCGAGAACTGATCAACCGTCAGCCTCACTCTCACACTAGTCTGGTCGCCGCAGCCGCACCCCCGAGCTTCGCGACAGCTTTCACAGGGAGACGCCTATTTATCACGACACCAACTCGCAATTATGGCGTCTTACGGCAGCGATCCCGAGGAGGAGGAAGAGGACTTCAACCCGGCACCTGAAATCGACGAAGATGACATCGCGCCAACCAACAAGGCCTCGCGCAGGCCGGCAGACGAAGACGAAGAGGATGAAGTCGATGCGCCGAACAGGATGGGCAACGATGACGAAGACGAAGAGGGCGGCGGCATAGATGTCGACGATGACGACGACGATGAGGAGGATGACGAAGAAGATGAAGACGACGAAGATGTTGTCGTACGTCTCAATAGGAGCATCCCGTTCTTTGCCCAATTACTGACCATCCTAGGCCCGACCCGCCAAGCGGAGAAAGAAGGCGAAGCGAAACATGTTCATTGATGTTGAAGCCGAAGTCGATGAAGACGAAGAAGAAGAGGAAGAAGGCGACGATGAAGGTGTTGATGAAGTCCACCCCGACGACCTCCTCGAGCCCACGGGCGCTGATCTCGACGACCGACACCACCGCGAACTAGACATGCGCCGCGAAGTTAACGCTCAAAAGGATGTCGAGGAGCTTGCCAAGGAGTTCGACGAGAAGTACAGGCGACGTGAAATGCAGAGCGCTCGACGCGGTGGTGCTGGTGCCGTTCCCCTGGCCTTGCCCACTGTCGACGATCCATCTATCTGGGGTTGCAAGTGCCGTCCTGGAAAAGAGCGTGAGATTGTCATGGCTATTCAGAAGCGCATCGACGAGAAGATGCGCGCGGGCCAGCCAATCCAGGTCTACTCTGCCTTTGAACGAGGCCCTACAGGACCTCAGTCTGGTTTCCTCTACGTGGAAGCCGACTCGAAGCAGGCTGTTGTTGAGCTGATTGAGGGCATCCAAAATGTCTTCATGGGCTCTGGCCAATTCTCCATTCCTCCCAAAGAGCGTCCAGATCTGCTCCGCAAGAAGAAGCGCGCGCCATTAGAAGTCGGCAAGTTTGTGCGCATGTTGCGACCTCCCACATACAAGGGCGATCTCGCAAAGGTCGTAGAAGTCTCGACTAACGGTCTTGACTGTGTCGTACAACTCGTACCACGTCTAGACTACGGCCTGAACGACGATGCCAACGCCGCACAAGACAACAAGCGCAAGCGCGGTTTCTTTGGTCGACAGACCGAGCGCCCACCTGCCAAACTCTTCAACGAAGCCGAAGCGAAGAAGCGACACATGAAGCATCTCAGTATGACCGGATCTGGCAATCAAAGGGCATACACCTACAAGGGCGAAGACTACCAGAACGGCTTCCTTATCAAGGAAGTCAAGGTCAACTGGGTCAGCACTGAAAAGGTCAACCCCCGGATGGAGGAGTTGCAGTTCTTCGCAATTCAGAATGCAGATGGTACAGAGACCATGGATCTTCTGGCAGTCCAGGCTGCGCAAAAGGCTGCAGACTCTGGCTCTGCCTTTGCTGCAGGAGACAATGTCGAGATCTACACTGGTGAACAGAAGGGTATCCGCGGTACCACTGTTACCGTAATTGGTGACATCCTTACACTCCGCGTCAGTGAAGGCGATCTTAGGGGCAGGCGGATTGATGCTCCTGTCAAGACTCTACGAAAGCTCTTCCGAGACGGTGACCACGTAAAGGTCATTGGTGGTAGCAAGTACGTCGACGAAGTTGGTCTAGTCACCAGGATCAAGGACGATAAGATTACCTTGCTTTGTGACTCTACCCAGCAGGAAATCACTGTCTTTAGCAAAGACCTGAAGCGCGCTGCTGATTCGGCAAACGTCGGCGCTGACTCCAACTTTGATCTCTACGACTTCGTGCAGATTGAGTAAGTTCTCTCGCTGCCAATACAAGATGACCTACTAACGAACTATAGTGCCTCGACCATCGGTTGCGTTGTCCGTGTCGACCGAGAAGTCCTACGAATTGTCGATCAACAGGGTGATGTTCGCACACTCCTCCATACACAAGTCTCACAAATCGTCGGAAGGAACAAGCATGCTGTAGCAACCGACCGGGACGGTTCTGAGATCCGACACGAGGACGATGTCAAGGAATATGGAGGCGAGGGCCGTCAAGGCAAGGTTCTATACATCCACCGAGGTACACTCTTCGTCCGCAACCGCGAACTAGTCGAGAATCAGGGTATCTTCGTGGTCCGAAGCAACAATGTTGTTACAATGGCAGCAAAGAGTGGTCGCGCCCAAGCCCAGGGCCCAGATCTTAGTGGCATCAACCCTGCCTTAAACGCAGGAGCGAACGGCAATGCGACCGCCATGCCTCCACCCCGCGCATCTTTCGGCCGTGATAAGCTCATTGGCAAGACAGTCGTCATTCGGAAGGGTGCCTACAAGGGTCTTTTGGGCATTGTCAAGGATACCATGAACGACGAAGCTCGCATCGAACTGCACACCAAGAACAAGCAGGTCTCAGTAAAGAAGGAGCTCCTCACTGTCAAGGATCCCATTACCGGCCAAAGCGTGGAGATCGGAGGCAAATTCCCTAACCGCTCGCGCGGAGGTTACTCAGGCGGTCAGACAAGCTACGGCGGTGCTGGCTCTGGTGGACGAACACCTGGCTGGGGCAACGCTGGAGGTGGCGGCCGTACGCCTGGCTGGGGAGGTGGCGGTGGTGGTCGCACACCCGGCTGGGGAGGTGGTGCCGCAGCTGGAGGCCGCACGCCTGGTTGGGGAGGTGACGGCGGACGCACAGCCTATGGTGGAGGTGATGGATCGCGAACTGCTTATGGTGGTGGTGATGGCTCTCGAACAGCTTACGGCGGCGCAACTGCCTACGGAGGCGCCACATCTTACGGCGGAGCGACAGCTTACGGCGGCAACGACGGAAGCCGTACCGCCTATGGTGGTTTCAGCTCAGGTGGTCGCACACCTGGTTGGGGTGGATCGGGAGGAAACACTACTTCGAAATCTGGTGGTCTCTCTGCCCCCACGCCTGGCGCCTATAACGCCCCAACACCAGGTGCTTACGCGGCGCCTACACCCGGTGGTTATGGCGCGTACTCTGCCCCTACGCCGGGAGGACCACCTATGGATGCTCCCACGCCTGGCAACTACGCTGCGCCTACACCTGGTGATACATCGGGTGGTCGATATGGTCTTGCGGCGCCCACACCAGGTGCGTGGGATGCTGCAACGCCAGCACCTAGTGGCGATCCTGGGTACGATTAGTTGCCTAGTCTAGGAAGACCATCCACCAGGACACTCACATCTAAGAATTATGTTGCGCCTCCTTCTGGTCGTAGACTGGATGGTCCACAGGATGCTGCGACTCGGACATCTAATCCCAATCCTGAGTACGATTGGGTACCTAGTTTCTTGTAAGATACATGGGCAGTCGCGGCGAGAGTCAGTTTGCGCCAGGTTGCAAAATGGTCTGGGTCTGCGTAACGCAGATGAGATCGGGGTTTTTTGTGTTCGTTCATTGCATTGCTGGAGTTTGCAAAACAGGATATCTTAAAGTCAGACTTCAATTCCAAATATTTCTTCCATGAGCATATGAGTACTCTATTCGGTTGACGCTTATGATAACACACAGCTGATGTAGTATGGATGTGACTGTCGACTTGTGCGTATTCCGAGAAAAATTACAGGTTGTGATGGCGACCGTCGTTCAGAGACTATTCTTGCTCTTTGGACAATTTTGAGGCAACGAATAATTCGCATTCAGCTACTTACAGGCTAAGCTATGAGGCCACCATTCTTAGGCGTCCCGTTGCTTGTTCACATGTTGTTTGGTCGGCAGTTCATAGCGTCAGAACCGTCCAGACACAAGGATGCATAGGTCACAATATGTGTTCGTATAAATAGAAGACTGGCGTGAGCCAGCAAGAAGATGAATCATCAAGCCTAGATTGGTATTGAACATATTCCTCTAAACGATCTTCTAAATAATAACTAGTAGAAAAAAAATTGGTATCACCCCACCATTTCTCTCTGTGTAAATGCAAAGCAGTCGAGTATGAAAAACGAAAAATGAACACCTTTCTACTACTCGGCTCATCTACAACTCCACCTACTCCTCAACGATGCCACGGAATGTCTTGACAACAAGCAAAGGAACGCGAATCTAGTACTTGCGTACGCGCCTCTGGACAGGAGCGGGAGACTCAATAGCAGCGTTGACGCCAACCTTTGCGTTAACAAGGGGCAAGTCAGCGGAGATCTCAAGGCTCGACCTCGACATGGGAGCTGCGGCGGGGATAGCGGCAGGGACAGCCGAGGTGTTACCACCAGCAAGGGCACCGATCTCGATCATGTTGTTCTGGCCAAGAACGTTCTGGATGAAACGGGAGTTGAACTTGACAATCTTCTTGATGGCGTTGAAGTCCTCGACGTTGACGGGAAGAGGGTCCTTGACGATGAGGAAAGTTACACCCTCGGCGCAAGGAGGAGTGGTGAGGGAACCACTGTATGTCTGGATTTCGGACGTCTTAAGGACGGAGACGACGTCGGTGAAGTCGATACCGTCGGAGATGTCGGTCTTGGTACCAGGTGTGGTGATAGCGGAAAGGGAGGACGACAGTGACTGGATCATAGAAGCAGAGTCGTTGGCGGAGACCTCAAACATGAGCGCAATGACGGCGAGCTGGCTCTCATCATCGACACCCTGGTGGACCATGTGAATCTCAAGAGGGAAGAATTCATCGTTGACGTGGTGCTCAGAGGGCGCGTGCATGTGGAACTGGACAAGGCGGTAGTTGGTACCAGCATAGCTGGTGGTGCCGTTGACGACAACTTCAATGGTCGTTCCGAGGTTCTCAAAGACCACAGGGCCGGCGGGGATGTCGAGGGTGGGCCTGGAAGGTGCCGCGGTGATGGAGGCATCTGGTGGAAATTGTCAGTAGGGATATCATTGGCCGAGCTCGGAGGATGAACATACCGACGTTGATAGGAGACTGGTTCTTGCCGGACTTGCAGGCTTCGTTCTCAGGAGCAAGCGAAGCCCAGTTGAATGGACCGTTCATAGGCCCATAACCAAAGGTGTTTACCTCAACGGTCTCTGCGCGCTTGAACTTGGACAGGCCGTGAAGGCATGTTGCGGATGCAGTCGAAGCAAGGAGGAGTGCGGAGAAGAGCATGATGAATGATAGACTGAGCTGAACTGTAAAGAGTGGAAAGATGCTGTAAAAGACACTGAAAGAATGTGAAGTGCTGCTGATGATGTTTCCAAACTTTTCCGAGGGCAAAGTCGCTCTTAAGCAAAAGACAAGATTGTATATGCCTCAGTATACAAGACTAACAAGAGCAAGTACGCGTGCGAAGTCTTGGTGTCGATGCTAACGATCAACGTGCAACACGAACGAAGGTGGAGTATAAAAGTAAGACAGGATCAACCCAGCCGATTACAAGATAGGTAAGGATAGGACAAGAGAAAAATAAGCCCGAAGACCTTGAGACTGGGCCAAAGAACGGTAGATACGAAAGGAAGGTGAACGGGTGAGAACGGACCGTTTAGAATAGAAGATAATGGAAGATTGGAAGTGCCGGCTTGAACGAGGGGAAAATGCTTGAGGTGGATCACCAAGCTCAAGTTATAGCTAACAATCACACGAGCATTGCATCTCAACGATTTCTTCCCGATACCGTTCCGGTCCCTTGCTTGCCGAACAGCCATACCCCTCCGTGGAAATAGACACAGGCCAAGAGGACCAAGTCATACGTCAAGATGCCTCAGGAACGCCAGCGCTTGGCCATTGTATACAGAATACAAGATGAAGGAGCGGGGATATTCCCATACAGGTAGGTGCCAAGTTGAATTCGTGGTTAAGAAGGCGCCCAGATGCATACAGAGGGGCCACACAGGGGTCAAGAACTTGTGACAGTTGCTTGGTATGCTGAGACGTGGAGCAATCCCTCGTGTCGGAAGCGAGACAGAGTCATGGTGTTCCCTTACGCTGACAGCGGACGGATGTGACGTGCTCTACTAACATCGGCGCCGTCACAAGTGTCCACAGAGATTGGCGATCGTCATTGCGTGCTGATTGTGTTGTACAGATTTACAGAAGTCGCAAGATGTCCGAGTCGTTAGCAGACCGTTAGGAGGATGGGTATCCCTCCCAAGACTTACCATCATCTCGCAGCGCCAAGTCTGGGGAATCATTCGATTTTTACGAAATAACCAGGCGACGTTGTGGCCCAGCTTCGCCACAGCAGAACAACACCCTGGTCCTGAAACTCCACATAGGACCTCGATCCTATGAGAACTGTCTTGGCAGGTCCAGGCCATGTGAACGAGGCTGCTTTGCGACGCGCGACAGGGATGCGCGTCCTATTGTTTTTACCCCTAGCCTATACCTCCGAACCAAGAGCCGGATTCTCGCTGCTGCTATAGGCCTGAGTCTCGGACAGGACTCTACCGTTCCCGTCGTATCTTCAAACCGATGGAGCGTTCGCCCACATGCTCTTCCCTTTCGTAGAATCAGTCCACTTGTGAAACTGGGGGGATCGGTGTGAGAACGAAGGGTGAGCGGCTAGCTCATAGTCAGGCAATTAGCAGAGGGCGCGAGTCTCCAGTGCGTTTCTGCGGTACGCCCGTACCTCAAGATAGACATCCGGATATCGTCGTGAGCGATATCTTGAGGGGCTTGGCAGGTGAAGTATAGCATACGCGGACGCCAAGCTGAGACGATGGCGTGTGTGGTGGTTAAAGCGATTACTGAAGGCTTGCGAAAGCAGGGACACAGGATACACGGGATACGACAAGTAACCGCGGTAAGCATTTGTGGCGCAAGCTTGTAACAAGCCACATTGCGCACAATTATCCGCCACCATGCTACCTCCCATCGCAGTACAGCTACCCGTCAGACTTTCCCGACTACCAAGATCATCGATATGTAGTGAGCATCAAAAGGCAAAGATCGCCGCAGTTCACCCTACTCCACCGTTAGGACGTTGAACACAATGCGGCCCGACTTGCAATCTCCGCATCCAAGCTCCTTCCCTGTAATTAGCTAGCTGTAACAATGGAGCCACAGGAGTCCCAGGACACAGCTGAGACTCAGCTTTCAACACCATGCCTAGCATCACGAAGACAAGCTTGGCACTATACACGCCTCGTCGAGGTACAACATGACCTGACCATCGGTCTTATCGTCGGAAGTAGGCTGTTCGACTCGTTTCTTCGCAACACCCTGCCAAGTATATCCGCGTGTTTCTCTCCACCTCAAACCTTTGGCATTCGGTCTTATGCTTGCGAGGCGTTTTTCTCTTATGCGCGGTCTTGTTCGGCCTTGTATACATAGGCAGCGTGGTGTAGTTTCTTGTATACTTGGGTGCCCAGAGGTGTTGTGCGGAGGCGGAGTGTACTGTGACTTGGTCGCCAATGTTCCTGGGCTCATTCCCCATGTCCCGGAATAACTCTCCGCTCTTGGCGATCGGCCTTACGTGTGGCATGACGGGCTGATTGCACTCACGTCGAGATCTCGAGCTGACGAAGCCTTTGGCTGAAGAGCATTCTCTTTGGTGCACCAATTACACGTGAAGCATTACTGCTACCGGTGGTGGTATTACCGGTTGCGGAACTTAAATTCGCCTGGTCCTTCGTCGGACTTACCGTCCACGTGGGCACAACGGCGACAAGTGAGTGGTGACATACCATCGGATCCAGAATCAGCGCTTAGCATACGGTGAGCAGATCGGATTTCTGCTGTATCGTTGCTACAGACAGGGAGCAGCTCGTAGAACTTGCTTAGTTCAGCAGAGGTTGACATCACGCGACACTGTGGAGCCTGTAGACATTGGAATATTATGCAGGCATTATGATTAAATCTTCCTTCCGTCTACTGTGCATGGTATCATCTAGCATGTCTAAAACGCTCATAACTCGTGTCCTCATCCTGAGACCGACTGGTACGGCCGAAGTATTCTTCGCCACCATCCCTTTCGCCCGCACTAACGAGTGGTTGGCGGCTACTCGTACCGTGCAGTAGTACTGTGTCAGCATTGAACGGGGTGGCCGGGATATCAACATCGATGCCAACGTCTTCGAACCCTTCATCAGGACGCGGCGCCTTCTGGTAGCCTTTAGCGTATGAAGTCCCCTGTTCTAGCTCCTCCTTATCTCCTAGTCGTGTTCGACTCGACGCCCTAGTCGAGGTCACTGATCCAGACGGTGAACCCCGTCGTGCATACGGGCCCATCTCGGTGAGCGTAGTGAAAGTAGAGGGAGTGCCAGGCCTTGACATGTCTTCGGGTCGGCCGTACAGCTCCCCGTCGCCACCAAATTGTTCCCGGAACTCTGCACGCTTCTTGAAGTTCTCGAAGTCGAGCTCTGACTCGGTGACGACTTCCACATGAGGGATTTCTGTCCCACCACTTACATGCTTGCCTGGCTGATGAGTATCCATTTCTGTCATAAAATAATCACCGAAGCGGTCATAGCCTGGTGTTGATGGCATAGCGCGATCGGTCGAACGGCGGTGAGGTGCATCGAAGATATCTCGATCAGCGTTTGACCGGTGGCCATATATCTCTTTCAAGAGATGCTGAGACTTTGCGTGCACCATTGGCGTAAGCAGCTTCTTGTATAACGCGGGGTGGCCATAGCGAGACGAGACCTTGGTGCTCTTCTTCGATTTCGGGTGATCCACGGAATGGGAACCCTCTACATCGGAGTAGGGGAGCGTGGAATAGTACAGCAGTTTATCGTCGAAAGCTCGCCTGCAGTACCACTTGAAGCCGAATAGCAGGAAGGGTAGCGGAACCATGGCATACAGCATGTTGCCGGTTCCTACTTGTATATTATCAAAATCGATCGATCCAACACCGTTTGCACCAACGACCAGCGCGATAACCGCATCTGCGAAGGCGACCGCGAATAGCATGCGATTTACTAAGAGCTTCCAGAATCTACCGCCAGACTCGGTCTTCGTGATGAAAACATACTGAAGCAGGTACTTTTTGAATACGCTATCCATGGCGATGTAGAAGGCTGTCACTGGGAAGATGATCGGTTGTAGTGTTCCCATGCAGAGACCTACAGTCGACACGAAGAGGTAGTTGTTGTAGTAGTCGGCATATGGGAATGGTTGAGGCGCGCTGAGCTCAATAAGCTCTCTTGGAGTTGGCGAGAAGAAGGTACGTTGGAACCAGGACCACAAGAAAATCCAGGCTTGCGAAAGATCGATGGCAGCACCAAGGTTTCGCTGCATTTGCCAGGTAAGCCAGAAGGTAGACACATTACACAACCCGGTCATAACCTTGGTGAACAGATGGCCATCCTGAATAGCTTCCCAGACGCCTTGATCTTGCGCTGCAACGACGGCAGCGACGAATCGCCACGCCGAACCGAATACAGAGAAGACGAGGAGGTTATTGAACACGAAGAAGGAGTACAGACGAGCAGTGACATGGCGTTCCCTGGAGGTCTTTGAGACATCTCCGGAGTGTGTGAACAATCGACGGAACTGAAATTACGGATATCATGTCAGCTTATATCTCAGAGGTTGCTTGTGAGGGGTTTACTGACCACCACAGGAACTCCCATGTACATTAGAGTTTGCACCAAGGGAGCCAAGATACCCTGTGCAATAGCCCAACCTGTCGGGTGGGCTTGAAGGTTCGTCATGAACGCCGGCCATACAAGCCCCAAGTGGGAGAAATCTGACAAGAAGACGGATGTCAAGATGTTAGGAACAACGAAAGCAATGGTGAACAGTACTACCCATAGACCATCCCAGAAAGCACGTATTCTGCGAGTCCTTCGTGTCATCGGAAGGTTCTGCCAAAGGAGGTCATGGGGTTTGGGGGCGAGGTAGACGTCACAACCAGCAGGGCCCTTCTTCCTCGTCGCATACGCAACCGCATGAGCATCTTCGATGTGCGCGTAGGATGCGAATCCATAGGGCATGGGATTTCGCATGTCGACACCTTCTCGTACTTCCTTGATCGTTGTCTCCAACCTTGCGATTCGGTCCGTCAGGTAGTCGATCGCATCGAGTTTCCCTTTGCCATGCATAGCTTGATCATTTTTCATGGCTTTGCACGTAGGACGCTTGGCGGGCAGCTTGTTTGGGTTGCTCATGTACTCCGCCAAGTGCTTCTCGAGTTGGCGGACAGCGTCATCATGCGCCTCAATAAG